TGTGTGTGTGTGTGTGTGTGTGTGTGTGTGTGTGTGTGTGTGTGTGTGTGTGTGTGTGTGTGTGCCTGTGTGTGTGTCTGTGCCTGTGTGTGTGCATGCGCGAGCGTGCGTGTGTGTCTTTTGGAAGGTTTCAGGTGGGGCCCGGGGGGGTAGACAGACAGAGGGCTTCTTTAGCGAAATGGAAAACCTCATCGTTATTGGTACAACAAACAAAATGAATTGTCGAGTTACACTAGAAGTTCTAGTACTTACTAGTGTTTGTCGCGCACGCACTAGCCTGCCGTGCAAGGGATTACCATGATTCGAGTAATAGCCTCAGGTCGAAAAGCTAGACTATTGAGTGGGTTTCAGTGAATGGACGGTCGGTCCTGGTCTCCTCCTTGACATGGAGCACTGCAAATTTCTTATTCTCACCTTGAAACCCTTCCTCCCTCCCTTCGTGGCACAATTATCCAATTATCTCCCCCCAGGGGGAAAAAAAAAAAAAAAAAAAAAAAAAAAAAAAAAAAAAAAATCTCTCCCCCAGTGTGTCACCTGTCATTGCTCTGTGTTTACCACAACGCTTGCACAAACTGGGCCACACCATACCCCCAAAGGAGAGAACTTTTCGATCTCGGTTAATTATATCTTCTCTCTGAGCCCCTCTCTCCCGTACACAACCTCCCCCTCCCCCTCGAGCTGGGTCCCCCCCCTACTAGTTGTTCGGGCCTTAGACCATGAAGGGTACCACAAAACCCCATGATTCTGCAAACTGGCCCACGTCCAAGTCCATCCATGCACCCCTGCAATCGGGAGATATCTTTCCGCCGCCTTCCCCTGCAAACTCCCCCCGTCCAACAACAACAAAAAAAGAAAAAAGAAAAAAAAAGCAGTCTATGCCATCTTCCCCTTGGACAAAACAGGCTATGTCATCCAGAATGACTTCCCCTTAAATTTTGTAGAAACACCCTCAGCCGAGGATGTATACGGCGATATAATGTCGGCACCGTGTTATGAAGTGCATTGCATAGCATGTTGTGGGGCCTAGTACCGTCTTCACCCGAATAGAACGCCCGGTAATTATCGCCGTATCTGGACTGAAAATTGTGCCAAATGCCGATATAATGACCGGGCGTTCTGTTCGGGTGAAGACGGACGGTATCAAAAAGTGGTCATGGTCAATCTGAGGGTGACTGATTCCAGGGGCAGTCGTCGAACCCTGTCCACAGGACTGGGTTATCGGCAACCAGGTAGATTCCCCCTCGCTTGGCATTAGCCAAAAACCGGTCCTTCGTTATCTCTGGCAAAGAGGGTTTTCGTGCAAGGATTAACACTGTCTCATCGTGATCGCGGCCGACAATCTCTCTCAAAGGTGCGGGCACATCCTGGAAGCGATAAAGAAGGGCAGCGCCGTATCGCTTTTTTTTAACCCCCTTCTTCATGTTTGTCTCCCCTCCCCCCTCCTCCTCCTGCTGCTCCTCCTCCTTCTCCTCCTCTGCTGCTAGCACCCAATAGGCATCTGGCATTCGCTTTTTCCCATCACCGCTAGTTTCCATCGTGAGTGTGAACGCCCCCAGCTCCTGCGGGTTCTGCACTGCCACGCCTGTCGTTACGATGTCTCCTGTTGTTGTAGAGTTAGAAGGTGAAGACGACACCACAACGCCGCCGCCGCCGTCGTTGCCTGTCTGAGTCGTGATCGTATTGCTACTTCTCTGGCTGTTCTGCTTCGCTTCAGCATACTGATTCCCCTTGTGCCGCTCAATCAAGCCGTTGAGCGTCTTCACTCTATCGATGGCGCTGAAGATGTTCGCACACCCGTGTCGAGCACGTTCTGTGAGAAGTCGGATCGTCTTCACTTGCTTACCGATCACCTTCCGCTGCCTCATCACCTCTTGTTGCAGATCTGTGGGATTAGTTAGCCGTCGATCTGTCAAGTTGTACTGGAACCGAGACTCCGCCGTGGGATACTCTGGCCCTCCGATCCCCAAGATGACACGTTCATTGTAGTATGACCACGACAGTCGTTGTATCTGTAGCGCGAGGCTGGTAACCACCGCTGCGCACATCTTCATTCTGCTCGCTGCTGCATGAATCTCACCCAGCCAGTACCTGATATGAGCCGTCGCCTCTTGGCGATTGCCATCGCCGACCTGCTCGCTGATCGCTGCGCTGGCCTCCGTAATCTTGCTGACCAGCCAAGCAATCTCTGCTGCGGAGTGCCTTACCTTTGCCACTTGGTCGTCGATTCCAAACAGCATCCTCTCAATGGACGGTCGAAATTGTGACCACCTCGATGTCGCCAATTCGATCCGCCTCATCGCCCTGTGGACCTTGCCGTCTCGCGATCCCATCAAAGGGCAAGCCCGTTGCAAAGACCCACTTAACAGACGACACTGCCAGGCCATTTCCTGGACCCAGCTCAGCACTTGGGGCTCCACCTTGCTACGCACTCGTTCAACCACCACTGTCAGTGCCTTGCCAACGCCCAATGGAGCCCATTCCAGATCCGTCAGATTGACCGACAAGGGAGGGGGGTTAACGAAGGGGTGTTTCCTCGGGAGACCCTTCTTAGACACCCCCGTCCTGGCCTTAACACCACCATCGCCGTCGATGACATTGTGCTCCGAATCCGTCGTCGACAAGAGAGGCATGGAGTCTGACGATGTGGATGACTCTACCTCTATTACCCTCGTCTCCATCTCTTCTGCCTGCTGCTGACGTCGAACAGAAGCAGCGATCGAAGCCGGTTCGATCTGCACTCCACTCCTAGTGCTAGCCTGAGTAGCAGCAGCAGCAGCAGCATCGCCAATCGCAGTACTAATTCTTGTTGTTGTTGCTGTAACTGTATCATGATGATCAGAACGAGGGGCACGAAGACGACGACTGCGGAGAAGACGACGTCGAAGGGGAGGAGGACGGGTTCCAAGAAGATCGTGCAGGTCTTTTGCTGGCGGAGGGGGCTCAAATGTGTGATGGTAGTATGGTTCTCTCACCTCTCCCGTTGTTGCAGATACCCTGTCCATCCATAAAGGGGTCAAGAGATAGGGTCTGTTTTCCGAAATGCTGTAGTTATGTGTCGCACACCTCGTTCCCAGCAGCTCGTCCGATGCCAACTTGTACCGTGCTGATGCACCGATCTCGTACCAGAGCCCGGTGAGCTGTTCCAGGTCCAGATCGGGCACGATGTGAGGTCTGGGAGCTGGTCTCGCCGGCCCTTCCGCCTCGCAGAAATTGCCCATAAAGTGGATGGTACTCGGGAACTCCAGCGCGGCAGCTTCTAACGCTCCTTCTTCTTCGGCAACTGTAAGGGGGGGGGGAGATGGCGGTGGAGGGGGGGGGAAGGTCCAGGTAGAAAACGTAGATACGGTTACAGGCCTAGCTAAGGACGCAGCTATAGGAAAGAAAGGCCCTCCAGATAATAGGAGGAGGTAGGGAAGAAGCATGAGAAAAGGGGGGGAAGAGCCCTTCAGCGAACCTCCAGTAGTATAACTGGGAGCCATCATAATCATGATGATAATCATAATGATAATCATAATTATAATCATAATCATAGACTTTGCAATCGAAAAAAAAATAATAAAAATAAAAAAATCACCCAAGTACCTGAAATCCAGTAGTCCTTGGAGTCAGCCACCCCCCCCCCACCGGTGATTAGTTCATGCTAAGTCAGCATGAACCTAGCTGGGTTCACGACTAGGTAGGTTGATGCGTAGTAACCATGAGGTGAGCGCCACTGGGCGACGTGGCCCTGAGACTACCGTAAACGCTTTATTCTTGCTCGTTTTGACTTCGAGCGCCTACCGCTTTCTCACCCGAATAGAACGCCCTGTCATTATCTTCGCATCTGGACCGAATGTTGTGCCAAATACAGCTAGAATGACCGGGCGTTCTATTCAGGTGAAGACGGTAGCTATAAACATTGTCAGCGGTACAATTGGGACGCTGGACCCAGTTTCCTGCAGGTGCAGCTCCCTACCAAAAGAATCATGGAGCACTCTTTCCAAAAAAAAAAAAAAAAAGGAGTTCACAGCAAGCCTCCGCATGTTTCAACGTAAAAAGATGACTCAGGACATACTCTCACACTAGGACCCTTTTTTTTCACTTATTTCTGGACGGAATTGCGGCCAGATGCATACAGGTGTGGCCGAAATTGCCGTCTAATGCATTTTGGAAAGTGCCAGTGTGAGTATGCACTTAGTCAGAATTGCTCAGAACTGTGCGCAAGTGTAGCTCAACCACTTGAAAACAACCTAAAAAAAAGCTGTAATGAGAGCATACTCACACTAGCGGTATCTCAAATGTATCTGACCGCATTCATGCCATACCTGGATGTATCTGGCCACAGTTCCGTCCAAAAATACGTAAAAACGTCCTAGTGTGAGTATGCCCTGAGGGACGATCTCTGGCAAATTGTGGCAATTGACCCTTGAGAGGGATTCACACTGCCACTTTCCTGCTCATCAGATAACTGCTACAACAGTAATAGAAAGAATCGGAGTCTATAACGAGTACTACCGTGTGCATCTTGCCCATCCATCATCCATCATCCTGGACAGATGCATACAGGTGTGGCCGAAATTGCGGTCCGAGTCATTTTGGAAAGCTCTGCGCACTGAGTCTGTGTACTGTCCTTGATCACCAGGCTCTACTGCAGTCCTCCTGACTGACCATCGAGCTCTGACGTCAACGAATCCGCCGAGCCTGTCCGATCTGGAACACAGCTTTGGAGACTGTTACTACCGACCAGAGGAATCGGACTCACTAAGCTTGCAGTGCATGACTGTCATTGACTAACACTCTGATCAAGAAACCTCCACGTCCTAATCATCAGACTGACAAATGGTTTCCCCACCATCTTCCTCCTCTGCTCCCTCAATGCATCGCAACAATTTGATAAGGGTACCTTCTCTCTCTCTCTCTCTCTCTCTCTCTCTCTCTCTCTCTCTCTCTCTCTCTCTCTCTCTCTCTCTCTGTGT